TTAAAGATACAAAATGGTAGAAAAATCTGTATACAAATTGTTTGTCGATTTTTTGTTTGACTTTAAAATATTTATTTTTCTTTAATATAGAACATTTCCATAAAGAAAAGGAAATTTTTGCAAATTTGTATCAGAATAAGCTAGTAAGTATACCACCTAAATCACACAAGTAGTTAAAATCTCAAAAAAGTGATTTTTTAAATATGTTTTATTTAAATTAAAATTAATAAAACTAATGTCCTATTTTGTTTATCACGGTATATAAAAAAATCTTATTAATTCCTTGTTTTTTTTTTTTGTTGAAAATTAATAACAACACAATAATCAACTGCAACCGAAGACATTGAAGGAATCCAAACAAAAAGTAACAAAATCAAACGAATTCAACTGATAACAAATTATATACCCACAACATACATGTATCCACACATACACAAATATGTATGAATGTCAGTGTTTTCTGTCTGACTGCTTGACTTTCTTTGTGTCGTAGTTAAAATTACCCAATAAATCGCCCTCCCATTACAGTTTATTTTTTTTTCTTTAGTTCTGCTCATTACATACATAGGTAATTCTTTTTAAAATATATTTTTTATGATTTGCTAATTTCTTACCCACATCAGCATCAAAGCCAGTAGATTGTGAAAAAATACCCATTTTCTAGACAATTTAAATTTTTAGCTAGTTGTTTATTAAATGAACGAAATGTTTTCTTTTATCGTTTTAAATTTTCTTTTTACACAATGAAATTCAATGATTTCTTACGACGTTTGACAATATTTGTTTCTCTATCGTTGTTTGCTGAATTTTGTTAATGAATAATCATAAATTGTTTAATATTTTTAAAAATACTTTTATTTTTTAATTTTATTGTTTAATTAAATTTCTTCGGTAGAATATTTTGCTCTTATATATCTGCAATGAAAATGACTAACAGAAAGTAGAGCCCTGCGCCGACAAACATTAAAGGGGGCGGCGACTAAAAACTTCGACGACGGTTTAAAATCGGCTGTAAACCGGCTAAGTTAGCAGCCAAGGCGAATTCACATAAGGTGTTGACAATTCTGCAACAATAATATTTTACATGTATTTTGTTTTTGCATTTGGTTAACGTAGATGTCAAAAGCAATAAGTACTGCGAAGTCATTTCATGAAAATTTTTTGTAAAATTTTTATATTTTATTAAAAAATAAAGATATTAAAATTTGTGAAGAAAATATATCCTGAATTGAATAATGTCTGCTTTAAACCAAAAATTCTATTTCGGCAGATTACTTCATTTTTTGTGAAAAATAAACATAAAAAGTACCTATTCACGAAAAAATTGTATTACGAATGAATGAATCTTTGTTGCGAATGGATACTTCTTCTCCGGCGGAGTAATATTCCATAACGTAGATGTCAGCTGCCACCAGCCGGGTATATTCTTCATATGTATGTGTTTCTTTATATAAAGTATTCCGGAACAGACTTTATCTATATATATAAAAGAGTAGCGTTACTGACTGACTGATTCATCATCGCACAGCCCGAACGGCTGAACCTAGAATCATGAAATTTTGACAGTAGATGTGTTTTTGTTTATGTAGATCCACTAAGGAGGGATTTTTGGAAATTTGTACATTTACGGGTAAAAAGGGGAAAAAACAAGTAAAACAGGGTTTCTTAATTATCTTACACAATATTAGCGATACAAGAAACATTTTAAATGCACCTGTATCTACTCTTAAAATGAGCAGATGGGTGTCTGGTACTTTTTTGAAATTCGTACTTTTAAGGGGTAAAAATGTGTAACGAAGGTGATTTTGGTACCTTTTTGGCCCCTTATAACTTTTGAACTAATTAACATAATAAAATTTTCATAAATATTTTGGATACATCTCCCAAAATTATGAGACACCTGTTTCGTACTTTTTTAAAATTCAGTCCTTTTTAGGTGTAAAAGGGAGAAAACTGTATTTATCGTACTTTTTTTTTTAGCACATTATGAAAACGGTTTATTGAATTATTGCTATTAAATTATGGACTAACTCTGTAATATTTATTGTAATAAAATTTTTGCTATTTCACTGGGGAAAAAGTACCAAAAAGGGGAAAAACGGGAAATTTAATTTTATTCAAACTCATTGAGCCAATTTTTATAAAATTTGAAAAAGTAGTTTTTTTACCCACACAAAAAAAGCTGTTGGTATATTATTTTGGAATTCGAGTACTAAGTCCTATATAGGACCAAATTCGAGTAAATTGTTTGATACTTTTTGAAAGCACTATTTTTCTGGAACAAATGAATGCAGATTTGAATCGTTTGAGTTTTATCTGTGATATATAGATTTAAATACGGAACATTTTGTAAACGTAATTCTCGAAAAAGTATATTTCTAAGCGAAAAGGGGAAAATTTGTATAAAGAATACTGTAGTAGTGCTTTCCACCTAGGTAAATTTTATTCCACTTTTGGTACTTTTTCTTTCTTCAAATGATACTCTTTGTATTTTCTTTAATATGAATTCAAAACACATGATTATTAAACATACACGGTCCTCATTGAATAATATTCTTTAAGTCTTTTTATATCATAAATGGTACTTTTTTAATTTTCTAAAATATTCAACCTAGGAACATTAATTTTAACATACATGGTCTTGACTGAATAATATTCTGTAAGTGGGAACTATTTGGTACTTTTCTATTCTTCAAATGGTACCTTTTAGATTCTTTATAATGGTTAACCGGAACACACGGTCCTTATTAAATGAGAATTTATTGAGAGAGATTTTTGTAATTTTTCGTTTTTCCGATGGTTGAACATAGAAATATAAAATTTAAAATGTAGGGACCTTAGTGAATGAGAATCTAGTGAAAGGGACTTTTGGTACTTTTTCATTCATTAAAATTATATTTTTTGAATTGAATGTAATATTGAACCCAGAAACATAAAATTTTTGATTATTATTTATTTTATAGTTCTTTCAAAATACTACCGAAGTTTCCTCTGTTTTAACGGAAATTTTTAATCATAAAAATGTAAACAATAAGTGTGTTCGCGTACTTTCCAGTAAAAAATATCCAATAACTTTGTGATAGAGTAATTTTTAATTTACTCTCAATCAAAAAATATCCAAAAAAGTACGCGATAAGTACAATTGAAACTATGATTTTTCTTATAAATAAATGGATATTTAAAGTTTACAAAACATGTAATATCATTACAAATATATTATTGTTTTAAAACTTCATGTTACAAAAAAATTAGTAAAATAAAAATTTACACAAAATCGCTAAGAAAAAGACAAACTAAATAGTTTTAAAAACGCTAGATTGACAATATTTGTTATAATTTTTTAACATTCGTGTGTTATTAATTTATATATTTCTTTCAAAAAATGTAAAATTTACCAAGTTTTCGTTTTATTTGGTTTGTTTACATATTCATATATCAACCATATGTTGTGAATATATGTTGGATATTTTTTACTGGGGAACATGATACAATTAAAAAGGTAGCCTCGTCCACACAGCTGATCATCTGCTGTTACAATCTTATCTGTCAAAATTCCTTTTTGTTTATATTATGAAAAAATCGCAGTTGTAAAAAATTTTAAAAAGTGAAGAAAATTCTGTTTTTAAAAGAGTTTTCTGGCTCAATCGTGATTAAATGTCTTTGTTGTCCTTCTCCCTTGATAAAATAAGAAAATCTAAAAATACGAAGCATCTCGTAAACAAATATCATTTTATTTAAATAATGGCATAATTGGTATGTATGTATACAAATATGTTATTTAGGAAAAATATTTTTTTCTATTAAATGTTAACATATTAAACAATATTGTTATATATTTTATATTAACATTGTGTAGATAACGTGATTATCTAAAAAAAATCTCTTCCGGAACACTTTATATAAAGAAACACATATAAAGAATTTAGCCGAACAGCGGCAGCTTACTTTTACATATGGCTTAATTTTGAAATCTATTAAATGTTAACAAATTAAACAATATTGTTATATATATACACTATGCAGATAAAGTCATTAACTAAAAAAAGTCTGTTCCGGAACGCTTTATATAACAAAACCCATATGAGGTATTTACCCGTCCGGCGTCTGCTACGTTATGGCCAAATATTGGAAATTAATCCTCCGGAGTAGAATTATCCATTCGCAACAAAGATTCATCATTCGTTATATATATTTTTTTGTTAATATGTACTTTTTTATGTTTATTTTTCACAAAAAATTAAGTTTTATTTAACTTTAGGCACTCACTTAAATTTTGCAAATTAATCTGCCGAAATAGAATTTTTCGTTTGAAACAAACATTATTCAATTCAGAATATATTTTCTTCACAAATTTTAATATCTTTATCTTTACTTTTAATAAAGTATAAAAATTTTACAAAAATTTTTCATGAAATGAATTCGCCGTGCTTATGGTTTTTGACATCTACGTAAACCAAATGCAAAAACAAAATACATGTAAAATGTTGTTGTTGCAGAACTGCCACCACCTTATCTGAATTCGCCTTGAACACCACCTTATCTGAATTCGCCTTGCTAACAGGCCTAATAACAAACTTTGACAGCTGCGTGAACCAGGCGAATTAGGAAAAAAATTATCAGCTGATTGAATAACACCACATAAGGTAGAGTTATTCAATCATCTGATCATGAACAAAAGCAAAAAACTATTTCTATCTCTTTGGCACAACACTTTACACCTATTTTTTTTAGCTGTATTTTATATAACTTTTCCCACAAATATTTACAAAGGCCGCAAAAAAGCTGATTTTAGACTTTGTACCCCGACTTCAAACGCTATTAAAAAATCTCTAGATTTTCCTCTAAACGCTGAAATACCTTTTTTTAGAAATGCCATTTGAAAAACGCTAGTTTTAAAGCGAAATTCGTCAATTAGGCAACAGTGGTTATTGGATTTTTTTGCTTCTCTCTCTGTCTCATTTTAAAACAATAATAAACGTCATTTTTGTAATATTAAGAAAAAAGACAATAAAAAAGATTTGGAGTCACTGTATAGAAAAACGAAATATCACAAAAAAGAAAAGGAAACACAATTTTTATTATTTTCAAAAGAAATTAAAAGCAACAGAGATTTTGTTTAAATAAATAATCAATGAAAATTGAAACAAACAAAATGAACAAGTGAAAATCTTATCGGAAGTACAAAAAGCAAGGTCTTGTTTTATTCTCCCAAATACTATTCAGGCAATAGGGTTGACTGCCACCGAAAAAACAGCAGTATTAAAATACTAAATAAAACAGTTATAGAAAATAAAATAATATTTAATTAATAACAAAAATACTTGCATTAAAGAAATTTAACTACAATGAGGTTCGTTCGAGATCCCTGTGGTGTGGCTTGTCTGATAATTACATATATGATGGTAATTTATGCTGATTATGTGGTGATGAGATGGATTATTTTGCAGACAATGCATGACAGGTACAGGAGAGAATATGAATAATTAAATTTGGACTTGTGTATTTATAATATGTGATTAAAATTAATACTTTTAGTATTTGGGCTCCTTTACATGTGGTCCTATTCAATACCGTCGTTTTCCTATTGGGTTTGTCACATCTAAAGGCGGTTTTATCCGATCCGGGAACTGTGCCCTTGCCAGCAAATCGTCTAGATTTTTCTGATTTACATACGGTGGGTAAAAATAATGTTACAGGCAATGGTCACAATGAGTGGACGGTGTGTACACGTTGTGAAACTTATCGGCCACCGCGAGCTCATCATTGTCGCATTTGTAAGCGCTGTATTAGACGTATGGACCATCATTGTCCCTGGATTAACAATTGTGTGGGTGAACGAAATCAAAAGTTTTTCTTGCAATTTTTGGTATATGTTGGCATGCTGGCGCTATACTCTATTGCATTAGTTGTAGGATCTTGGGTATATCCGTGTGAGGAATGTGGATCGGATACATTGGAGTCGCAGACAAGATTGTAAGTAATTTATATTTCATTATTTTACAAAACTAAATTTAGTACTATATTACTTGCTTCAAAACATTTTACTGATAAAAATAATTGTAAAATACGATATATAAAGTAAGAAATGATTTTTAAGATATTGGACCATTTTCGTATTTTTTCAAAAACAAAATTCGATACCACCGTACCTGATATTTTTATGTACATAGAGTAGTATAGACTACGGATGAGCGACACGGCGATTTCTAAAGAAAGTCGCACGGTGGTTCTCGAGACACCCCGGGTATGTTCAATATTTAAAACGATCCTATTACTCCGTTTGTCGTACGATTTCACAAGAATTATTATATATGAAATCTGTTCGATGAGTACTATAAAAATCCTCATCGTAGCTATAAATTATTTCTTATCGCTTGGGAGATATTCGCATTTGAAAAATAAATTTTCAAACTTTTACCCACCCTTGTCCAGTTCTTTGCTAACTGTGGGTCCCAATATTTCCGATTTTCCCCTATTTTCTTTTGTTCAATTAACAACAAATGTGTTTATTAAATAGAAAAACATTTAATTCAAAATCGCGACTGAGCCAAAAGTTATATGCATTTAAATTTAAATAACTTAAAAATGGCGATTTTTCGCTATCGAGGGGACCATGTTCATGTAAAAATGCCAATTTTTTATATAAAATTCAAATTTAGGCAAAAAATTCTCAAATCGCAAAGTCGATATCCAAATTTAGTAACCCATTTTAGATGACCCAAAATGTTCTTAATTATTTCGCAAAGGGTTTCGATAACCCCGGCCCTGGTGTGGATAGTATTTGATATAATTCAGAGCATATACATATTATACTCTTCATTGCGGTTTACGTTTAAATACGTATAATTTGGATCCATAACTTATACAGTTCATACTTTATGGGTCTCTAAACATGGGCATGTCGTTTTTTTTGTGAAATATTTTAAATGTTGAAGGCTGAAAAAATTTGGAACCCGTTATCTGATTTTAACAAGTAAGGTTTCGAATGGACTTCGATTAGTCTTTAATGATATTTCTCAAAAATTACATGACGTCATGGCAAAAGGACCAACAAAAAATATCCTTCATCCTTGAATATTCTAAAAAAGGATATTTTGTTATTCTTATTTTTTACACAAAATTAAATGGGATCTCAATGGATTCGGAAGTTATAGTAGTTTTTATTTATATTCATTTATAATTACCGTACGAAATGAGTCCTTTTAAACATTTTAATATATTGCAACTTTTACAATACGGACACATACATATATGTAGTTCAAGGCACGTTCGGATTATCGAGTTGCCCGGACTATAGTAGTGAAAATGAAAATTATTAAAATAAATATCCTAAAAAAGGATATTTTGTTTTTCTTATTTTTTACACAAAATTAAATGGGATCTCAATGGATTCGGAAGTTATAGTAGTTTTTATTTAGATTCATTTATAATTACCGTACGAAATGAGTCCTTTTAAACATTTTAATATATTGCAACTTTTACAATACGGACATACATATAGTTCAAGGCACGTTCGGATTATCGAGTTGCCCGGACTATAGTAGTGAAAATGAAAATTATTAAAATAAATATCCTAAAAAAGGATATTTTGTTTTCCTTATTTTTTACACAAAATTAAATGGGATCTCAATGGATTCGGAAGTTATAGTAGTTTTTATTTAGATTCATCTATAATTACCGTACGAAATGAGTCCTTTTAAACATTTTAATATATTGCAACTTTTACAATACGGACACATACATATAGTTCAAGGCACGTTCGGATTATCGAGTTGCCCGGACTATAGTAGTGAAAATGAAAATTATTAAAATAAATATCCTAAAAAAGGATAAATACACACATTCATACATACATACATACATACATACATACATACATACATACATACATACATACATACATACATACATACATACATACATACATACATACATACATACATACATACATACATACATACATACATACATACATACATACATACATACATACATACATACATACATACATACATACATACATACATACATACATACATACATACATACATACATACATACATACATACATACATACATACATACATACATACATACATACATACATACATACATACATACATACATACATACATACATACATACATACATACATACATACATCATACATACATACATACATACATACATACATACATACATACATACATACATACATACATACATACATACATACATACATACATACATACATACATACATACATACATACATACATACATACATACATACATACATACATACATACATACATACATACATACATACATACATACATACATACATACATACATACATACATACATACATACATACATACATACATACATACATACATACATACATACATACATACATACATACATACATACATACATACATACATACATACATACATACATACATACATACA